TCCGGATAAGTAGGAAATGATGAACTCATCATCGTCGATGTCCTCCGCTTGTTCCTCGATGGATGCAATACCTGTTGACCCAAACCCATCCTCCCCGCATTCTGTTTCGTCGATGCAGTCGGTTAGCATTACTGGTGGGGTGCTTATCCTTTCAAGGATGAGCTGGGCAACTCGGTCGCCAGCTTTGACAGTGAATGGGAGGTCAGAGTTATTGACCAGCAGGACTGAGACCTTGCCTCGGTAATCGGAGTCAATTACTCCTGCAGCAACATCGATTTCTTTTAGCGCTAGACCGGACCGAGGTGCGATTCTTCCGTAGTGTCCTTCGGGGATAGCCATGATAAGATCGGTGCCAACCAGGCCTTGTCGCCGGGCAGGGATGATGAGTTGATGCGCAGCAGAGATGTCATATCCTGCTGCACCGCTAGTCTTTCGTTCGGGGAGGGTTGCGTGCTCCGAGGTGGAGATGACGACGAATTCGTCCTCCGTTGATTCTGGGAGTGGGGTAGTTACAGCCTTCTTCAGTTCTAGCCGAGCCACTCGCCTTTGGTACAGGTCCATCTTCCAGGCCCTGGTCTCGTCTCTTGTCCACCGGTGGTTTAGCTCAACTCGTCCGGTTTTCCAGTCTATCTTGGGGTTTTCGAGCTTGAGCCAAGTGTGGCCGAAGATGATGTCTTCCTTGCCGATGCTGGCGACGTAGGCTTTGACAAATCGGGGTTCTCCGCTTATCTTGTAAGATAAGAGAGCTCTTCGCGTAATGAGTGCTTCTTTGTTTGGAGTTCCGTCCACGTTGAAGACGGGGATGGGTCGGGGAAGAGGTTCTGTCCGAAGTCGATGCTCTCGGATGAATCTCAGGCTGATGAAGATTCCTGTTGCGCCGCTGTCGATGAAAGCGCGCACCTCGACGTCTTTTCGTCCCACAGTAATCGGAATGTGCAGAGCGCGTTCATTTCGGACTACTAGAATTACACGGGACAGTGAAATGGATACGGGCAGTGGTTGCGTTGGCTCACCCTGCCCCTTCAAAAATCCTCCATTGTAAGTTCTTTGTACAGCTCCCGCTTCTCGTCAGCGGAGAGTGTCTTGATTCTGGCGCGGAAGTCGTCCTTCCCAGATCCTCCCTGGTTCGGCCTCCCACCCCCTTGTCGTGCGGCCGCTTTCTTGTGGCAATCCTTGGCGCTGTGACCCTTGATGTGGCAGTAGAAGCACAGATTCCCATCCCTGTGGAGCTTACGATCGGCCTCGTTGAGAACGGCTCCTAGTTCCCATTTCCTTCCTCCCGATGTGGAGGCGAAGGTTGATGCGATGGCAGCGGCGTCGATATCCATCGGTTCGCCATAGTCCCTGGTGTCTGTGACGACGAGAGCCCCCTGCTTGGCTGCGTCGGCGTTTCAGACTTCGTCGTACCAGGCCTTCATGGTGTTGGGTCGATCCCTAGCGACCCTTGTTGCGAGCGCAAAATACAGCTCCTTCGGGAGTCCTTTGACGAAGTTGGCATGGAGAGTGTGGCAGTCGTTCTCGACGCGGTTGGTGCCATTGACCTCGGCGTCCTTGAGCTGAGCCTTTGATGCTAGCTGCTCAAAGCGGGTGACGTAGTTACCGAGGGAGAGCGCCGTCTTCCTATCCTTCTGTCGTTCAGGGAGTTTCATCAGGATTTGATGTGCCTTGATTCGTGTTCCATGCTCAGGGAACGCCTCTTCTAGAGCGGCAACGAAGTCTGCCCAAGTGGAATAGACCTGGACTCCCCCTGCCGACTTCTCGTAATATGCGTCCACCCATGTTTTCCCCAGATCCTCCCTCATCAGCGCTACAGTGAAGGCGATCTTTGCTTCATCGCTGAGTCGGGTGTTGTTGGTGGCGATGAAGTAGGAGAGGATGCATTGGATGAAGTGTCTGAGGTCCTCCGCCTTTCCGCTGAAAGGTTCGGGAGTGGGGATGTCGAGGCGAAGGGGTCGGTTGGCCATTGACTGCTGGGATTGGTATGCTGCGAGGGCGACAGCGATGCGCTGATCGATGTCTGCTTGAGTGAATGTTGCCATAGGGACTTCAACCGGTGCGTTGGTTGGTGCGGGTGGGGCTGGTGGTAGTTCGATGTCTGGGATTTCAATGGGAACGTACTGAACTTCAGGGAGTTCGAGTGGTTGTTCGTTGATGGGTGACTGCACACTTTCTGTTGTTTGTGTAGGTTCGACGTCAATCCGTAGGGTGGTGAATACATCTTCTGGGTGAGCGGGTGGGTGTCTCTGGTAGTAGCTAACGAGTTCTTGATGGGCGACGACCTGCGGGTTTGGACCGGTTGCACAACACCAGGTACCACCTCGAGGGTAGATGGGAGCTCTTTTTGTGGAGGTGACAAAGCAGCGATCTGCTCGGTCGTACTGGAGGAGCGGTGATCCTGCGAGGGCTGGTAGTCCCAAAGGAACTGGGTTGACTGCATTGTTCAATGTGATGGTGGATGAGATGTTCGACTAGGTAAAACTAGGAATGTAGCTTAGAAAGTTTGACCTTTTGATACAACGGTCTATACTCCTATATTGATGCCTGACTCGTAGACGACGAGCGAGGGCTTATGGACAGTACGTCGTCCTGAAGATCGAGCGAGGAAGTCGAGAATGACCACTACTGTTGGAACTTGAGATTGTGGCGAGCGCATGCCACCGTATTTGGCATTGTTTGTAGTACCTCGCAGACTTTGCGCGAGCCGTCCTGTATGTTCCTTACGCGTTTGACAGAGCTCAGACAAACGCGATATATCTTTGTTGATCGTTCTCGCTTCGGGTCTCGGACGAACTTTAACAACTACCCCAAGCGAAGAGGAGCAGAGACTTGAATGGATAACCAGGTCGAACTTAGGGTTCGACCGACTAATGGTACAACTACTTATACAAGTACCGACTGCGCACGGACCATCGTGTCTATGTGGTCGTGTTAGTGAAGAAAGAAACGTAGTGGTATGATGCCGAGTACAAAGTGCGCATGGACCCCATTATGTAAGCTACATAATGTTCAACCTGCGGGTGAGCGCTAAGACAGGCACCAGTATGGGCGCTAGTAGTACAAGGAATAGAACGGAAAGACAAATGTTTCAGATTTGACAGATGCGGTAGGTGAAATGACCGGATCGCGTAATTGGATGACATTATCCATTTTCGCAAGTGACTTAGCCCTACCTTAGTAGTGTCTCGTTGAACATGAAGCTAATGACAAGATACCTTTATGTAGTCCAAAGCCATGACCAGTCATGCCACAAACCTTCAGGTTGAGCTACTTGACAAAGTGCGGAAGCCAGCCCCCATCAGAAAACTTGGAAGTTCACTGAGAACACTGAGTCAGCGATCTCAGCGCGTTCATTCGGCTCAGCAGATGCTTTCAGCGTGGCAGTGGCTCAGCTGTCAGCACAACGAGGTTTTTACCTCGCTTCGCTTCAGCAAGCTTCTGTCAGCGTTATCAGCGAGCTCAGCACCTTCACTCTTGTCAGGCTTTCAGCATGACAAGGGTATTTTATTAAATTGTAATAGATATGAATTAGATTATACAGCATTAGTCTTTAGGCCTACTGACATATACTTGATTGGGCGATATCAAAACAAAACCATTTTGAGAAATACTTTACGGCAGCGAAAGTGCATGCGCAAAAAAGAGCAATGTATTCCAAAGATATGAGACTCTTTTTTAAATATTCATTTCAAATTTGACAGGTTTGTACTCCATACAACGTAGGTACAAGTAGAGTGTAGACTAGCCTCAAATAGCTCTTAACAATGAGCTCCGCGCCTTCGGACAGAAGCACTCAAGAGTGAGTCCAGCGCTAGGTGTCAATGCCTTACAGTTTTCAGGCAGACAATGCACGCGCCCCTAGGTAGGGGATGCGCAGATGGTCCTCGCGTGCGGCACATCGTGTCAGCAACCCACAAGCGAGTAAAAGGACAGGCTGTAGGCGGGAAAGCAACTAACGTCCCGCCGGAGCGAGGTGGGGTGCCGGACTTGAGGAGGCGGTAGAGGCAGCGGGGGAGCGTGATGTGTTGACAG